GAGTAATTTATGAAGAAAAAGAGGTTTAATGGACTCACAATTCCACATGGCTGAAGAGGCCTCATAATCATGGTGGAAGGCAAAAGGCACGTCTTACATGGCAGCAGGCCAGACAGAAGCAAGAGCCAAGCGAAAGAGGTCCCCTTATAAAACCATCAGATCTCATGAGACTTATTCACTACCATGTGAAGAGTATGGGGGAAACTGCACCAGTGATTCATTTATCTTCCACCAGGTCCCTCCCACAACATGTGGGAGTTATGACAGCTACAATTCAAGATGCAATTGGGTGGGGACACAGCCAAACCATATCATAGCTCTCTGCTGAACATACTTGCTTTCTTCAATTTGTCATGCATTTGCCCGGAGCATCTCACTTGTTTTTGTAGCTGGTCTTTTTAGGCACCTAAGTTTTTCTTGTAAAGCAATTTATTGGATAAAAAAAGGATAACAAACCCTCATATGTCTTTTATAGAACCTGGAAGTCAGAGAGACATTCAGGATGTTGTTGCATACCATTCATTTCTTTAGTAAACATGTCCATTCATCTGACTTTTGCCATGGATACTTTGCAATACATGATTAATCAATAATGAAGCACACATAGAGTATTTTCATTATTTATTGGATCTTTGTTATTTGAGGTTCTTGAAAGCAATCACTTTTTCCAAATTATCACTGTATCTTCTCTTTGTTCTCTGTCATTTTACTCCATTTTGTAAAAAGACTGACCAGCCTTTATAGGTCCATTGTGAAAAATCTGGATTCTGGTTCAAGACACGGTCATTACTGCCACTATGTGGCTTATTTTGGAAGTTATTGAAAAGAAAACATTTAATTGGAGCTTTTGAACTTGAAGCTGCAAAACCTTGATGTTTTCCCTAGTCTCCATAGCTTATAGTCATGGATATACTTTTTACCAAGCATAGCACCTAATTAGATAGTTTATAATTTATTTTAATTTTTAAAATCTGCCTCCTAAATAGTTGCATGAGAAACCCACACATGCCAATGCACACAAAAAAATAAATGTATATGTACATATGAAATCTGTATACATATATATATATATATATATATATATATAAACAGCAGGCTAATTATGTGTATATAAACACAAATATAATCCCAATCTATATCTATTAATTTCATTTTTCTTATTTACACAAATGGATTTATATGTATATGTTTTTGCACCTAGTTTTTATTCTTTTCAGTGGCTGTGTAGTATTCATTTATGGATATTTCTGTTGTTTTCAAGTTCTTTCACTTTTTTGCTTATTTCCATTTCATTATTGAAAATTGTACTGGTAATATACCCTGGAAAGTATCATTTTGAACTTTTGCAATGAGGGAAATTTGCAAGTTGGAAATTCTAAAAGTAATATTTTGAATCAAAGAGTTTGTATATTTAAAATTTTGAAACATATTATCGATTTGCTCTTCAAATTAGTGCCAAGGCTACTTTTCCAGGACCTTTCCTTTTCCAGATATTCTTGAAATTTAAATTTCTCTATTTTTTTTTAAAGGCAGAATCTTGCTATGTTGCCCAGCCTGGAGTGCAGTAGCTAATCACTGAGCACTCTATAGTCTCAAACTTCTGGATTCAAATGACCCTCCCACCTCCACCTCCCAAGGTAGCTGGGACTACAGCTGTGCACCACTGCACTTAGCTTAATTTTCTCTGTTCTGATTACCACCTCTTTTTAATGAGTGCAGTTGCACTCTTTGCCATATGCATATTGCCTGTCTTTATTTTTGTGTGAAATTCTTATTTATCGGTTGCCTTTCATTTTTTTCCCAGTTGAATTCTGCTTTCATACGTTAAGAATAGTCTTTAACATATGAATAGCCTATGTTTCCCAGGCTTTTACTTATATTTTGATTTGCTAATAATCATTTTTGTTACTTAAGATATTTAAATAAGTAGTACATCAAAATTTACATTTTTTTTTTCTTTATGGTCTCTAGGTGTTTTGTCCTGGTAACAAATGTCTGTCTCCCATTTTCCATATAGTTTTATAAAGGTTTTTTAATGTATTTCCATTAACCAAACAATTCATTCATGTCTTCTTGTGTTAGTCTGTTTGTCTTGTTATAAAGCAATACCTGAAGCTGGGTAAATTATAAAGAGGTTTAATTGGCTCACAGTTCTGCAGGCTGTACAAGAAGCATGGTGCCAAATCTGTTTCTGGTGAGAACTTCAGGAGTCGTCTGCTCATGGCAGAAGGGAAAGGGGAGCAGGTGTCACATGGTGAGAGAGAAAAGAGAGAAAGGGGGAAGGGTGCCATGCTCTTTTAAATAACTAGTTCTTCCATGAATTAATAGAATGAGAACTCACTCATTACTATATGGAGGACATAAACCATTCATGATGAGGAATCAACCCCTGTGACCCAAACACCTCCCACCAGGCCTCATCTCCAACACTGAGGATCACATTTCAACACAAGATTTGAAGGGGACAAATATCCAAACTATGTCACTTCTCTTTATCAAAATCTAAAAATATAAATTAAACTAAAATTACACTTTACTGTTATCCATGTTATGTTCCTTGCCACACAGATTCTTTTCGTTTATGAAATATAAGTTAAGTTAGGACAATGTTAATGCTTTATAATTTTCATGACTAGTTGAGAAAGCCTTTCTTTTCTTTTCTTTTCTTTTTTTTAAGATGGAGTCTCACTCTGTTGCCCAGGTTGGAGTGCAATGGCATGATCTCTGCTCACTGCAACCTCCACCTCTTGGGTTCAAGTGATTCTTGATTCTCCTTCCTCAGCCTCCTGAGTAGCTGGGATCATAGGCACCTGCCAACATGCCCAGCTAATTTTTGTATTTTTAGTAGAGATGGGGTTTTACCATGTTGGCCAGTCTGGTCTCAAACTCTTGACTTCAGGTGATTTGCCCACTTCAGCTTCCCAAAATGCTGGGATTGCAGGTGTTGCCACTGCGCCTGGCCTGAGAAAGCCTTTCATATTGAAGCTATGTTAGGTAGATAAAAATCTACGAATGTTTATCACTTGGTAGATTGCTCATTCTATGAATATGAAATATCCATCTTTGTTCCTTTTTAAATGCATTTTATATGTGATTATATTTTATTCAAAATTATTATTGTTAAAAGCTTTTTCCCTTATATTTTGTGGGGTATATCTTTACCCATTCTATCGACTTTTTTCTATGTTGTTTTTAAATTAGCTCTTTCAGAATATAGATGAATAGACATTTAAAATCAGTGTGAGTCTGCCTTTTAATAGTTAAATCTAACCATCCACAGTTATTATCATCACTGATAGTTTTACACTTATTTCTATTTATTTCTGATTTACCGTGCTGTCTTGTTACAGCCCCCTTATTAATTTTTGTTGAATATTATTTTATTTTTTTCATGTTTTTGATATTATATAACTTTTATATTCTAGTGCTAATTTTTAATACTTAAATATATATATTTTGTTCATCAGTGTCTAAAATGAATGAGCATGTGCATATTACATTGTCTTTATCTCAACAATCCTAGCTAGGATTTTCTGGTTTATAATTGGTCATGCTTCTCTCTTTTTGTATTCTTTTTCTTACCAATATCTTCCAGCCATGTTGAAATTATTTGGACTTTACTTTCAAGTATTAATTATAAACCTGACATTTTAAGAAAGACATTACAATAAAATATCTCCCACTCCTTCCTCCTGGATTTGCTTTTCTTCTGGTTATAACTCATTCTCTTTATTCAGGTCTTACTTCATAAGTCATCTTTAGAATCTATGTAACTATGAGACTCCAAGCAGCCACTACCAATTGTTTAGAAGTGGGACTTAGGGTGGAATTTATCTTGAGTTCTTTATAGTTCAGAGATGATATTCCTAAAAGGCTAGAAAACATCTTAAAGTATCATCTTCATGATTGTACCTACCCTTTTTTTTAACCTGGATCAAATGCATTAAGTATTGTTTGTGAATTTTTTCAGTAGCCCTATAAGAGGGTTTTTATTATCCCACCATATAGATATGAGATTCCAAAAGGTTGATTAACTTGATTTTTTTCATCAATGCTTCCAATACTGGCTTCTTTGCTTTTGAAATTAAAAAAAAAAAAAAAAGCACAGTATGCTGAGTGAGTTTTAGAGTTTTACAGTTACTCAGGATGACACTTAAAATCTGTAGCTTGACACACTGGGTACTGAATATCCAGATTCCCAACTCTCTTTTAGTTTGATTAGCATCCTTAAAATTCTATCTCTAAAGAAAGTTTTCACCTGGAGTTTCTAAAGGAGAAATCTTCTAACCCTCACTACCTGTTCCAGCGCCCAGTGTCCGGGGAGTGTCAAAGCTGACAACCTATTGTCTCTTGAGATGCCATGTGATATTTCTTTTGGGATAAAGTTTTTCTGAAGTTATCATCTACATAAGCTTTCTTTAGGCTTCTATGCCTTGTGAGTTATTAAGTTCTGAACCATAAGGAGTGAAATGCTCACAAATTTCTCTTGTTAGATATGGTAATTACCTGGTAACAAGCTGAAAGAGAAAAACAGTGAAGTATCGTGGCCAGATATTCTGAACCAATGTCTTTCATCATTCTCAGAATGTTATGAAATTCATTAAGTATTTACTGAATCTTTATTATTAGTAACCCAGCTACTAATTTAGTTTTTTTGGTAAGATGTACATCAACTAAAACATACTCGTAAGTGCCTTTCAGCTGCTAGGCACAGTGTGCCATCATGGATTTACATTAAAATGAGATAGTAGACTTGGGATTCTCACATGAAGAACCCTCTTCATTGGATCCCGTCTAGTCACATAAGGTCGGGGCAGGGGAGGTGAATACTCGATGTGTTGGAAAGAGGACACAAATTATGTCTCATCTCCTGTTCTCCTGATCAGGTGACCAGAAAAAATTGGCATTCCAGTAACTTCTTAATGCCTAGCTATGGTGCTATAGGCCCTCCTCCCATCGCTTATTCTTCATCTCAACTCTGTGCATGTGATTTCCCACAGTATTCAAAGGTGGAAAGGAATCCAGTGACTGCATTGGAGAAAATGATGGAGTCAAGTTTTGTCGGCCCCCAGACATTCCCTGAGGTTCCTTCTCCTGATAGAGGACGCCAATCTGTCAAACAGCACAGGTACAAGTAGCTCGTCATGATGGGAGTGGGCACGTTCACACTGTGGGAATGCTGGATGGCACATGCCAGGGACTGGTAGCATGACTCAGGAGAGACAACTGTTCTCACTTCTATAGTTCTCCGTGGAGTAGATGCTCAAACAGCCCACACCAGGTAAGTCAAAGATACCAGTTTCCACAGCAGACAGCATTGCCCCAGTAAGAAACCTGATGGAACCATTAATAACACCCATCAAAGCTACAGACACATGCCAGTGTTGAAAAATGCATTCTGAAAAAAACTATTATAAAAAAGATTTTACCAAGCCTGCCTTTTCTGGTCTGCAGTTAATGGGTAATTCGTTCCTATGCAGCCTAATGTGACTGACTTCAGGTTTTCCAACACGGTTCTCACAAAATAAAATTTTCCGTGGGGAAGAAGCCTGGTGAATCTTCTTCTTGGGTCTGTAAAATCTTCTGTTATCAATGGGGTGGCAGTTTCCTGCAAGCTCACCCCAGAAATTGGCTCTTTCAGAACAAAAGCCAAAAACATAGTTATTTGACACATTTCATAGCATTCTAAAGCTAAACTTGTCCTTCAGCATCTTGTAGTCCACACTTTTCTGTTTTATACATGAGGATTCTGAAACTCCAAATATTAAAGGTATTTGCTCTAAACGAAATGATAAAGTTGATGACTAGTGCTAGATTGTGTTCAGATATACATCATCAATCTTTATGGAAGTCATCCAGAGGTTTAAGCTTCCTTTTCTTAGTGAGATGTACAGTATTTTACAATTTGAAAAAACTATGAAAAATTTAAAAATGAAAAAGTAAATAATAACAGGTGTTCCTAGCAATGAAAGATGAGTGTGGCCCCTTTGCTTTCACATACTGAGCAATAGTCTGCACAACAATGTGCCAGAAACATGCATGACAGAAGAAAACTACTTTCTCCCTCAACTTTCGATAAGTTACATGAAGAGGATTTTGTTGTTCCTAGCCATGTTTATGTTGAGATTTTCAGTTACTCTTCACACTAATCCTCAGCTCTTAATGGTAATTTTTATTCTTATTCTACATGAGTAGAGACTAAAACACTGCCAGTTGGCCGATTTTAAAAAACGTTATGAATGAATGATCAATTCAGGATTGAAATATGTTTGGTGCTTGGACAATTGCTTTAGTTATTCTTACTGCAAGTTTTGATTTATATCAATTTTGCATTTACAGAATATTTTCCAGTGAAAAGAGCATTTCATTTCACTGGACCTAACGGAAGTTGTCTTAATTAGGGAAATAAGTCCAATATTCCCAGTCTTTTAGAAGACAGATATTTTCTCCCAAATGGTATTTTCTTCTGCTGATTATAACACATGTTAAAGTAGTATTTCACCTTGTCAAGTAATTAAGTAGAATATCATTCTAGTACTATATTAACTATGTTGTCGTAAATGTTTTAAAATATATATATTTTTTAAACATCAGCTTTTAATATGTTTGAGCTGCAATATTGCTACCCCCAGTTCTCCTGTGCTTTTATGCTCCCTCCTAAACTTGGCTTCTGCTGTGGTTTCTAAGAGTCACTCACAGATGAAACAAGGGTATCTTTAAGAGGCCTTCCTTTTTTTTTGGATCAATGACACTGCAGTATCTGTTGGCATACATTGTGTCCTGATAGATGGGCAAGGGTTGACTTACAAAATGCTTTTAGAACTTGTAAATTATAGTTTAATATATCATAGCTTTTGTTTTGTAAAACATGCAGTAGACTTAAACGTTTTCATGATTGATAATCCAGGCACTGATTTATATATCCTGCAAACTGCTCCATAACTTCCCGAATGCCATTGAGTTAGAAGGCCTGAATAGCTGATTGATCAAGAGGCATAAAACTGTTTTTAAGACAGGTCACTAGTTCATGCTGATAGACTTTGTTGTTGTGACAGTTTAGCAAGCTATGAATAATTAATTTCTTTTGTGCACTGCAAATATGACTCATTTGGATAACTCATGTATGAAGCAAAGCTATTAATTCAAAGCCATTATTTCTAATGTTAGTTCAAAAAAATTCCCATCTGTTTAGAAAATAAATCTATTATGGCATGTCATATTTATTGCAGTATATTTTGTCAATATAAGTCACTTATCCTTTTTTTACTTTTTATCTTTTTGAGGATAGAGTCTTGCTCTGTCACCCAGGCTGAAGTGCAGTAGCATGATCTTGGCTCACTGCAACCTCTGCCTCCTGAGTTCAAGCGATTCTCTGGCCTCAGCCTCCCGAGTAGCTGGGACTATCGGTGCAACCCTGGCTAATTTTTGTATTTTTAGTAGAGACAGAGTTTCACCACGTTATCCAGGCTGATCTTGAAGTCCTGACCTCAGGTTATCCTCCCACCTCAGCTTCCCAAAGTGCTGGGATTACAGGTGTGAGCCACCGCGTCCTGCTATAAGTCACTTATAAAAGCATGTATGTAGTTTTTTACACTGAAATAATTCCAGGGTTTTCAGTGATAGAGAGGACCCTTTGAATTGCCAGCTGTGGCAGGGGAGCTAGAGGAACTCATTGTGCCAAGTACATACTGTGGGCCAGGCTGCATGCCCCACACTTTGCATACCTCCTCTCTTTTAACCTCCACATCCCATAGCAAACCTAGGAAAATTCTTCAGTACAATGCTGATATCTTCTTTTTGCCACTTCCTTCTCACTGGGGCAGCTAGTTTCTACCTTTTTTTTTCCCCGCCTTGCCCTGTGCACCAAGAGGGCTGCAGGCTCCCGTGTCCTCCAGTTTCTGTGGATTCGGTATGAGGCACAGTCATGAGACAGATGGCAGCAAGGAGAGTGAGGTCATGGCACTTCTGTCCCCATACTCCCTGCTTGGTTGCCTCCCTTGTGTTCTTTATCTGAGGGCATGGAGTCTGTGAGGTGGCCCCCTCCTTACAACTCACTTTCTCTCTCCATTTTGGAAACTGCTCCCTCTCCTTGTCCCTTAAGTTGGAGAGATAGTAGCAGCTTCCTGTAGTTAGTAGTCCTGAAGCACAACAGTCTCCTTTATTGCCTTTTTTCCCCTCAAACACTGATCACACTTTTGTATATTGCAAAATCTCTAACAATGAACCAAGTTAAAGCGCCATCTGTCTCTCTCCGGGACTCTGACTGGTAAAAGTACCTCCATCAGCATTATGCTTATAATAATTAGTTACCTGCAGACCTGAGACTTACACCCAGTTGCAGCTAACTCTAGCATCCAAACCTTCATGCCCCGCAGACCCCATTATTGCCATTGGATGGTAGATAAAAGTAGGAAGGAAAAGAAGCAAATTAGCTGTTAGAGAGCTCCTGAAACTTGTGGGCTTAGTGATCTAACTAGACATCCCTTGTTAGGCATTTAGGGGCATACCATACCAGAAGCAACAGGATAAAGAATGAAGGTATAGGGGCCGGGTGCAGTGGCTCATGCCTGTAATCCCAGCACTTTGGGAGGCCAAGGTGGGTGAATCACCTGAGGTCAGGAGTTCAAGACCAACCTGGCTTATATGGTGCCACCCCATCTCTACTAAAAATACAACAATTAGCTGGACATGGTGGCAGGCACCTGTAGACCTAGCTTCTTGGGAGTCTGAGGGAGAATCGCTTGAACCCAGGAGGCAGAGGTTGCAGTGAGCCAAGATCATGCCACTGCACTCCAACCTGGGTGGCAAAGGGAGACTCCGTCTCAAAAAAAAAAGAATGGAAGTATAAGGAATGTTGCCAGATATAATCCTGCTTTCACAAATTTAGGAAGTTAATGTTGGCTTGAGGAATATAAAGTTTGATCAGTCACCTTGCCACAACCAAGAAAGTGGCAACTAACACAGATTTTCAAACTCTGACCTTAAATGATATTTGCAAAGTCTTGTTTTGTATTGACTAGGTAGAATTAACAGTAAGATTGGGGGAAGAAAAGTGATAACATTCCAAATAATGTAGTGATATGAATAAAATTTCTTTGAGATACTGGTTTCTTTAGAACCTTTATAAATTTCTTGAAATGTTGAGAATGTTTTCATCTTTCTTTCTATGGTTGTACTGATATTTACAAAGTTAAATGAGAATGCAGCATGAAATTCTAAGTTCCTTTATTATTTGAGCACTGCAAAACCAGTTTGACCTCATAAACTAGCATCTCATGGAATGTCTATACATGAACAAAGTTTTCCTCACCAGTCTAGAGTAGTGTTAACTCAGTGGAGTGGAGATGGGAATGGATATGGAACAGGGAATGAGTCTCCTCAGCAATGGATTTTTATAGAGTCTAGTTCTTTACTGTACATAATCTATGTAGGAATTCTTACTTTGTTAAGGCCTGTGGTATAACCCACTTACATGTTTTGCTCATTGATGCCATCTATAAACGTATGATTATTTAGGCATTTGGATGTATGAGTCAAATAAAATATATCATCAGATGTTTATTAAAAGCAAACTCAAAAGAAAAATAATTTAGTTTGTCAAGATTGATTAAAATCTGAGGTAGCGAACTGGGAATTTAACACATATGTTAATGAGAAACTGCTAATTAAAATTGGTTAATTCTATCACTAATAAGTAAATTTTTTTCCCCATAAATCCCTTCTGGGCTTACTCTGTTTAGTTTTTGTCAGTGTCTCATAAGAAGGCTATTTTTATTTCTATTGGAAAGACAGCAAAAATGGCTTGGATAATCAGGATGGATGAAAAAGAGGAGCTTGGGAATTCCTTAAGTTCTCCTCTTATCCCTCGCTAGAAAGTTGCAATGATTTCTATCAGTCATGCTCTTACGTAAAAAGCCAGAAATGCAGGAGCTTCCCTTTGTCTCGGTGTCTCCAAAGGTAAAATGACTGGGCTATTCCTGAGCCCATGCTACCACATATACTACATTCACAGATAGCCCCTGGCCTAGAATTTGAGGATTTGGTGTGCAGATTCAGTGTTTGCAAAGCTTGAGCAGCCACCTGTGAGGCTATTGCTATGATGTCTTTTGTTTGTTTGTCTGTTTTCATTCCACCCCAGCAGGAGTCTATCCTCTTGCTGCAGCCCAGGGCAAAGGAGTGGCATGCTCCATAGGAATGCCTTCAGAAGGACACCCCCATCACCTCGAAGTAGGCTAGGTGGAATTGTGGGACCGGCATATCAACAACTGGAAGAATCAAGGATCCCAGACCAGGATACAGTACCTTGCCAAGGGTAGGTCTCAAAACAGCAATAGAATTTAGGAGGGTGTCTTTAATGCCATAGCTTTAACTTTTAAATTCCTCGTGGTTTTATTCATTGATTTCTTCATTAACTGGCTATATATGCTTATTACCATCATTGTTCTACAAAAGGTGAACCAACTTTAAAGTATAGGTATGATGGAAATAGGTATCAGGGAATCATTAGATTAGAAATATAACCCTAAGAAGAAAGTAAGTGTAGCTATCCTTTGCTAATACAACTGGAAATTTGTCTTTGATTTAGAAATAATAATAATACAGGTTTCTTAGGAGGATTAAAGTGTTCCTTCATTTGCAGGTTAAAAAAAATGACCTAATTCTCTGATAAGTATTGTGAGCAATATACTAAACAGTAGCCCATGGCATATGGACAGTATCTGCTTCCCCTGAGCTTGAAGGTAGAATCTGGGTCAATGCTGAGGGTGCAAAGTCAAAGTACAACTTACTGAACTCGTATCTACAAGTTACTCATGGTACAGGGGTAGAAAGATGGGCTTTGGACACCATCACTGCTGCTCCTTACCGTACAAAAGGTATCCCTTCCTCTGGTGGACACAGACCCTGATAGGCCTCAAAGGATGGTGCGCTGAGTACGAGATGAATGTCAGCCATTATTCATGTAGTTGGCATAAACTGCCCAACCAAACATGCGATCCTCACTTAAACTGACTGGATTCAAATCCCATCTCTGCTCCTTACTACTAGTGTGACTTTGAGAATGTTTTATCATGTGATCTTAGATTTTCTTATCTACAAATGGAGCAAAATAGACCAGCCCCACTGGCTCACCCCCATAATCCCAGCACTTTGGGAGGCTGAGGCATGACAATCCCTTGAGCTCAGTAGTTTGAGACCAGCCTGGGCAACATGGCAAAACCCTGTCTCTACCAAAAATACAAAAAAAGAAATTAGCTGGGCATGGTAGCATGCATCTGTGGCCCCAGCTGTTTGAGGTGGGAGGATCCCTTGAGCCTCAGAGATGGAGACTGTAGTGAGTGGAGATGGTGCCACTGCACTCCAACCTGAGTGACAGGGTGAGACCCTTTCTCAAGAAAGAACAAAAATATAGCAGTAATTGAGCAAAATAATATCAATTCCCTGAGGATTGTTGGGCAGAGTTTTTAAATTATGTGTGTAAAGAGTTTGTACTATACACATAGTAAGAAGAAAAGTAGTACTGGTATTTACTGTCCCAGTAATTGTTAAAATTTTTTCATTAATTTCAAGAGCCCTGCAATCAGGGTTTACCCTAGAAATTTCAGAAATCAGTTCCCTCACTAAAGGCAGGTTCTTGTGGCTCTGTTTTTATCTTTCTGAATGAGCCAGGCCAGGTTTCTATGCTGCTTTGACTGGATAATTTTTCCAGACTATCTCTATCAAGCTAAAGACCAAAACAGGTGGGAGTTCTAGCACAGAGCCTCACGTTTCTCTTTTCATATGGGCATGGGATATATGGAGCCATGTCCTTTCTAAGAAAGCTCAGCAGCAGATTTCTTTAGGAAAATAGAAGATCGGAAATAAATGACCAGTGGCTAGGTTTGATCGTTTTGAAGCAATTCCAAATGGACTGTAAAAAGGCATTTGGTACAGATTTAGGGTGACAGTTGCAAAGTAAACATAACAGCCGAGGGGTTCAAAATGTAAAATGCGAGTCAAGAAGTAGTTTGCATTTCTCTTGGCCTTATCTCTGGAAAAGCGGGCTTGCATTTAACCCATAATTATAGTCGATCATGTTTCATAGTGCCTTTTCTTCATAAATAACTAATTATGCCTCTTACGAATGAATATGACTATATACATATACATAAAATCCCTAGGATGAATGTTAGAAGGAGAACAAGTGAGGGAAGATCAAATTCAGAGATTTTGTGAGTGAATGAAAAACTGAGCCCATGCTGGCATTTTTTTCTATTGGGCACTGTTACAAGTATAATTCCCTATGTTCGAGGAGTAAGGATGCTTGTAGCCTATGGCCGTCTCAAGCTTGAACCACGCATATATCATCAGGAGCTCAGAGATCTCATTGCATGTTCAGGCAATGCTTTGCTTTTTTAACCTCCTGGAAGACTCAGCTTATTTCTGCATGGTGCTGCTTTTGTTTTGGTTTTTTTTCTTTCTTTCTTTCTTTCTTTCTTTTTTTTTTTTTTTTTTTGAGATGGAGTCTTGCTCTGTTTCCAGGCTGGAGTGCAGTGGTGCAATCTCGGCTCACTGCAACATCCGCCTCCTGGGTTCAAACGATTCTTCCACCTCAGCCTCCTGAGTAGCTGGGACCACAGGTGTGCACCACCATGCCTGGCTAATTTTTTTGTATTTTAAGTAAAGGTGGGGTTTCACCGTGTTGGCCAGGACGGTCTCGATCTTTTGACCTCGTGATCTACCCACCTTGGCCTTCCAAAGTGCTGGGATTATAGGCTTGAGCCTTGGTTCAATCACCATTGAGTTGGGAATATTCTCTCCCGCTGTCTGGCCGCAGGTATTTTCCCGTGTCTGATACGCTCTCAATGTTGATAAATGGTGACTCTAAGTATAAGTCACTGTATGCCCAGCATAATCTCAGGGAGCAATCTCATTCTTAGTTCTTAAAAACAGCTATTTTCCACTCCCAGGGGCTGACTGTCTCTCTGGACTGGAAATGGGATTGGCAATACAATTTCACAGCTAAAGGCCCTCTTTAAATCTGGCCTCAGCCTGGAGGTGGGGGAGAAATGAATTTGTAAGAGTCATCAGCCATCTGCTACTTGTTTACCAAGCATGTGGGCACTGTCAATGACAGTTAGGCTTCCAACATATGTGGCTTCCTCTTTGGCAAGAACTTTAGCCCAGCTTGAATGTAACATCTATCTTAGTGTAACCTAGGGAAGGAGTGAGGTGGAGTGGAGATTCTTGAGGAAGCTTTCTCATGACTGGAGCCCTGGTCAATGACAACCATGGTAATGGCTCACAGAGTTTGAACTGTATCATGTCAGGAAAATCAAGCTGATGTGTTTGATGCTAGACAGAAAGAGGTGGAATCACAAAAGTTAGATTCACACATTAAAAATAGATAAAATTCAAAATCCACGAGTACCTACCATACCTAGCTAGCAACTTTACATAGTTCTCTTCAGTTATTCTTTAGAAATTTTATAGATACGCACACTAAGAATATCACAGTTTAAATGGCTAGCCCAATGTGACATACACAGTCCCATGTAAAAGCTGAGATACTGGCTTTTCTGACTAATTAAACCACTAAATCTACAAGGAATGTGAAGAAAATCATATTTATGGTTGATGATTTATAAATGGAGTATCTAATTTTATGACTTCAGAGGGAAGCATGAATTCCTTCAAAATAGTCTGTCCATTCATTTCTATGTGCCCTAGGAACTGAGAAGGTTTGGAGTCTCCCAGAGAAACATAAATTTCTTAGCCTGACCCATGAGTGACTGGGAACCAAACCAAGTGACTAATAGTTGGAATCTTTCTTCTTTGAAAGAATGCTTCGATTCACATAGTTACAGACAAGATGCATTTGTAATTTCTTTGTTAAGGGAATAGAGGAAGACTGGCCCAAAGTGAAATCATAATCTCAAGGACCTAACTTGTGGAGGCATCATTGACCCTCAAAAGATACAGAACTTTGAATCCTCTGACTCAGAATCACATCTACAAATTCAGGTCTCACCTTCACTTCTGCTGGAATACCACTGCTGGGAACTCACAGCATCTCTAGAGGAGAAATGAGGCTTACCCTCATGTCTGTGATGGAACAGGGTGGAGACATTATTGCAATTAGTCCTCAGAAAAATTCCCCCTCCCCCTGAGCAATCAAGTTATTGTTACTACCTGATTGTTTTAATGGATGACAAAATTAAAGTGAGACTGCCACTTGTCTGAGATTCCAGAGCATATAATAATTTGGGGACTTGAAATCATGTGTGATTCAAAACAAAATTTTGGAAAGTTCCCATTGTTTAAAGCTCATCTTTATGTCATGCTAACATTTTAAATTTTAGTTGTTGCCAGTCATGTGTTCAATGCCTGACTTGGGAAGTGAAACGTAGTCTACTGCAATTCCTCTTTCTCATCTAAATCCTTGAGTCAGTCCTCGGGCATAGGAGAAGAATTCTCCACGTTTGGCATGAATTGCCTTTGATTATGTCTTAGCCATGACACATAGTTGACTTGTTGAATTTACAATTTAAAAACATTCTCTAAGATATTTGCACCTTTATCCAACTGTTTAGATCCAAGTGTAAGAATTTTTACCTATCACCATCACATATCTTACCAGGTTCTACCAGCTGATATACCCTGATATCTATGCAAAATGCTATCCTGGCTACATTTCTTGTCTGTTTCACTGGTGAATCTGACAGGCAGACTTTCTGTACCTACAAATCATGCTAGCACGATGGTGCTCAGAGCAAAACAAAAGCATGAAATTTGTTTCTTTACTTCTGGTTGAAAGTGATTTATTGATTTGAACCTTTAGGCTCATGTTTGTAGACATATAAAATTAATGAGAATGGAGTAATATATTCCCCAAGAATTTCCAAATATGTGGCTTTGCAGTTTGTATTAATAAAGATTACATATCTTCAAAAAGGTGTTCTGGTTCACCTTAGGATATTTTTTTTTTTTTTTTTGAGACGGAGTTCCACACTTGTTCCCCAGGCTGGAGTGCAATGGTGTGATATCGGCTCACCGCAACCTCCACCTCCTGGTTTCAGGCAATTCTCCACCCTCAGCCTCCTGATTAGCTGGAATTACAGGCACATGCCACCATGCCCAGCTGATTTTTTGTATCTTTAGTAGAGACGGGGTTTCACCATGTTGACCAGGATGGTCTTGATCTCTTGACCTCGTGATCCACCCGCCTCGGCCTCCCAAAGTGCTGGGATTACAGGCTTGAGCCACCGCGCCCAGCCAGGATATTCTTTGATTAGCAACTTCTAACTTTGACAGTAACAATTAGAGTAAGACAACTTGGGTTTAAATTCTCTGTGTAACACTTATTAAAGATATAATTTTGGGGAAGTCATTTGAGTACCTGTTAGTCTATTTTACTCATCCATCAGATTATAATAACAATAAACTCCAAGGTTTTTAAAAAATAAGATGAGGTAATTGGAGGTGAAAGTGATTTTTTACAAGCACTGTACATATGTTACCTGTTGTTAAGTTTGAAAATAGACATTAAGTAGGATATAAAGGGAGAGTTTACCTTGAAGATTTGTTTATATGTATTCATGTGTTCATTTATTCAAAGTATATTGATTGCCAACTCTGTATTAGGCATAGTAAGAGAGGATGGGACTACAAAGGTCTAAAGCTCATTCCTGTCTTTGTTCACTACCTGGTGGAAAGAACTCTAATTTGCTCCCATCATGTCCTTACAATAAGGACTTGTATTTAGTATGCAACACACTGCATTGCAATTATTGTCCACATGTATAAACATGATTTTCATTTACATAATAATGGAAGTCAAGGAAATGAGACTTATTATATGGCAAGTTGATGTGTTTAAATTGTGTCAAAATTTGAATGTTTAATTGTTTAAATTAGGGACAAATAACTAAGAAATAGAATAAAACACTACTGTTCAAGTACCAAAACCCTGTTTTTTATTAATCTGCTACGTACCTGTCCCATTTTCTCTCACTGAACAGCACAGAGGTGAAAGATTTACTAGCCCTGAACAGGCAAGAAGGGAACTTAGAAGATTCTGCTATATTCAAATGACTTGCAATGGCATATTGGCATTCGTGATACCCTTGCCATGCACCACAGAGCTACCTTACTTGGTTTCAGAAACTTATGTAAGAAAAGGTGCTACATGGGTAGAAGCCCTATGGAACCCACTTAATATTCATCCCCTGGTAGGTAGAGGAATTGTAAGCTTCCCATTTCCATCTGCTGGCTCAGCAATCTGGCAGTGAGGTGGTTCCTTTAGAGCACAAGGCAAGTAGCGACTGGATTTTGATCCCTTAAAATCAGTGCAAAGTAGCAAAACTCATGACTGTAGTACCTGGATGCTTAATATTGGAATTCTTGATTGGTTCCAACTAGGGTGGCCAAAACAAGTCTACTAGACTAACCCAGGGCTTAGAGGGTGGTTGAGTTGATGTAGTGGACTAATGCCATTATGGGTGTCCTGTTTTTCACTATGGAAGGGCCACACTTACCTGCTCAATCCCCATTTACTTTGTATTCTAGGATAGAGGTCAGGAAGACTATATCCCACCTGCCTATACAGCTGTGGTGTGTTGAAAGACCCCTGGACTTAAAGTAAGAAGATCTGGGTTTGAGTCTCAGTCTGTCACTTATTTTCTGTGTGACCTTGGGCAAGTCACTTCACCTATCTGAGCTTCAGTTTACTTCTGTGTTTAGCTGGGAACCTATTATCCGTCTCATGGGGTTGCTGTGAGAATTCAGTTAGATGGTGCATGTGAAAAGTGCTTTGTGGATTGAGTTTTGCTCTGACAAAGCCCAGCAGAAAGCAGAAGGGGTAACACTTTGTTTCTTTTTCAGGTATTCATCCGATGGTTTAAAAACCCAACGAAATACATCAATAAATATGCAACTGCCTTCAAGAGAGACAAGCCCCTATTTTAATAGCTTGGAGCAAAAGGACCTGGTGGGCTATTCATCCACAAGGGCCAGTTCTGTGCCCATCATCCCTTCAGTGGGTCTAGAGGAAACCTGCATGCAAATGCCAGGGATTTCCGAAGTCAAAAGCATCAAATGGTGCAAAAACTCCTATTCAGCTGACGTTGTCAATGTGAGTATTCCAGTCAGCGATTGTCTTATAGCAGAACAACAAGAAGTGAAAATATTGCTAGAAACTGTCCAGGAGCAGATCCGAATTCTGACTGATGCCAGACGGTCAGAAGACTACGAACTGGCCAGCGTAGAAACCGAGGACAGTGCAAGCGAAAACACAGCCTTTCTCCCCCTGAGTCCCACGGCCAAATCAGAACGAGAGGCACAATTTGTCTTAAGAAATGAAATACAAAGAGACTCTGCATTGACCAAGTGACTTAAGATGTAGGAATCTGTGCATTCTATGCTTTGCTCAACAGGAAAGAGAGGAAATCAAATACAAATTATTTATATGCATTAATTTAAGAGCATCTACTTAGAAGAAACCAAATAGTCTATCGCCCTCATATCATAGTGTTTTTTAACAAAATATTTTTTTAAGGGAAAGAAATGTTTCAGGAGGGATAAAGCTTACAATTAAAGCTTTTGGGTAGAATTCTGAATCTAATTTCAGTTAGTCCCAACACTGTCCTCTTTGGCTCTTGGAAGATGTGGGCAATTCAGACCCTTGGCCCCACAGTGCCAGTGCCTCATTCAAAAGCACTGGCAGTTACCTGGTTTCAAAAAGAGGAGAGCTGTATCCGCAGGTGTATGCGCCAGTGAGCAGGTGGCCCTTGCCATTTGGCTTGCCAGTCCCAAGCCCTAAATTTCTATTCACCCAATAGCCTCATCACAGGTTATGTCATGTCGACAAATGCAGTGTTTTCTATTTGATTTTTGGAGAATGGCACAAAAGACTGCAATGCGAAGGAGGACAGGAGAGAGGAGAAACCGGGGGCAATCGTAACTCCTCTTGTGTGCCACCTTCCTCTGAGATTTGAATGCACACATCTCAGCTGGAGGTCTGAAATTATTACAGAAAAAGAGACAAAAAAAATCACTATGTCGTGTCACTAAAATCATGCTAATAGAAATGTTTTTCCTTGAGATTGTTTAGAGGCTCTGGAGGAGCGTTTCTCAGTTTGTGTGCCTGTGTGCATATGTGTGTGTGAGCGTGTGTGTGTGTGGACTTGCTCACGCGAGCACATATGCTGTATGCACATGTGTTCATTGTGTGTATGTGTGTGCATGTGTGCGCGTATTACGCTTGCTAAAATTTGTTCTGAAACATCAGGGAATCTAATATTCAGAGAAAGTATTTCCCTCTTAGATCTGTTCACTTTAAATTTTTCCATTAAGTTTAAAGTTCAGTTAGTTCTTAAATCAAGGTCACTTGCATGGTGGAGTCCTATAAAACTCTTGACACTGTCTAGACCATTTTCTGATGTGAATACTTTTGAGAGGAACAACTATTGGCTCATTAATGATATCAGTATCATCAGGTGAGTTAACTGAGGATGTGTGTTTACTTTGAATCATGCCTACTTAAATTACTAACGCAAGACAATTAACAAATTGACAGTTCCCCTTTGCTTTCTCATCATCCTCATTACTGTTTATTTTATAGCAAATCTACTACGTGTGGACCGAGGCTTCGGCTTCTGTGGTTAGTATGGGAAGAATAACTTGTTGAAATCAAAAAACCCAGACTATTCAGTTCACAAGAAGCCCCCAAAAGAACAGTAAATTGTGTTGTATGTTCATTTGGAATAAAGCAATATTTTTACCACTGCTAAGGTGAACTGAAACCTCTTCTGAAGATTTGTCTGTTTATTTACCCTCATTTTCATGGGACATATGAGGAAATTAGTGTTCATATACCCAGTCTTTTTCCAATTATTGGTGGTGTTGAGTTGTTATGTTTACACCGTTTTAAATAAAAAGGCACAGTATTTGAAAGCATAAAAGATTTCTTTTACTGCAGTTTGGGAAAACCTTGGTTAAAATCTCTTTGTGGAAGGCACATTCCGTGGAAAAGGAATGTAACTATTTCTGAGTCAAGCTGTAAAGAGATACAATTCATATTTCAGGTTAAGTTGTTTCTGTTGAAAATACATTGCAAATTGGTCTTTGGGAACATCTGTTATTAATAGACATACTGTCATCCAGAAAAAAGAAAGAGCACTATGGATTTATCAGAACTAGTTAATAAAAATTCAAGGTCTCAAATGTTGAAACACTTTGGTAAAAATGCACTTTACATTTAACAAAAGATTGTGTGATATTTATTATTTTTTCTGTTACAGTTCCATTGTTTTGAATGTAGAGGTAATATTGGTAGAATTTTAAAAGATTATCGTGAATTTATAATGTCTAGATCATCTAAGTTCTCATTTAAAAATACTGTATGTAAACATTTTAGAAAATGGTCTTAAAAACTAACAGGTCTAGAAAAACCCGATAAGTTGAGCATCCAATATGTCATTGTGTTGAAATTTATCACAATTATCAAACAGCTGGAAAGCCTCACAAGTTTGTTGAAGTCAACCTTGTTCTTATATATTTTTTTAACTAAAATGTTATACTTGCTTATCTGGAAGATTGGTTCTGAATTTACCATTAAGAAGGTATATACTGTATAACTCATTGCAGTTATACTAACATATTGTTTACACTGAAAACATTAAGATTGTCAGTGAAACTTAAGTCTTGGTCCAACCCCTTATTTTTTAAAAAAATATAAAAAACTATGTTCTGTGATTGTAACATCATCCATATGTATTCTTAAAAAGCAGTAAATCCACTGGCGGTCTGATATAAAGTTTAGATATACAATTACTCCCCTAATTAATAGTCAAGACAAAATCGTCCATAAATAATCTATATTAATGGTTACTTTTAAGTGGTCATTTGTCTCCTTTAGCAATATGATGCTTTCCTGTGAAAAGTATTGAAGGTCAAAATATACGTCATTGGGCACCAGTGGACAAGTGCTGATGGCATCAGTACTTTCAATGTGAATCTAACATGGAAAATACTTGGAGCCATCAGTGCTTGGCCCTTCAAGGTCATGTGCCTACAGGGAAGTACTTATTTCAGCAAAACACATTTGATTTTCCTTCATTGTCCTTGTCTTTATTATGTGAATATATATTTGGAAATTTGTAATTAAATATGCTACATATTCATTATTTACCAGAGGATGGATGGTACCCATTATTTTTTTACTTTGACTCATTTTGTGATATATCTTTTTGTTTTGTAAAGCATATGTCATTGTAGTTTGCCTGTGACTACTGTGGGATGCCATTCAAAATATGTGAGCAATCTTATAATATTGAGAAATAGTAGAAATGATTTTGGAAAATCAGCATCAAAATTTTCTTCCTAAATTTCCTATGTACATTAAGTGCTCTGTGTTTTACACTCTAGCTCAGTATCTGCCTTGCTATGGGTTAAAAACTAAATATTTGTAAATTTATCACACCTCCAATGATTTACATTATTTCTAAGTAGCAATAGCAAGGCTGTCTGGAGGAGGAAGAATGTTGTATATAGGACTTCACAAATTAACCTGTTTCGATCTTAGTAACAAATCAGACACACCAAAAAAGAGAACAGAAGAGCCAAGCAGACTTCAAGAGAATGCCTGTTGGCTTCTGGATTGAATGACAGCTGCAGTTTGAGTGGGGCCTTGGGTGCCTATGGCTAAGGCTATCAGTAACCAGATCTCTACCAGAACATCTCTGATGTGTGCCATAGTCATGCACACCTATCCTGCAGTATGGTGCTATAGGAAACACTGACTCCCTAAGTCTGTGTGTTGGGGCAGAGGGAATAGTGGTCCCTTTGATTCCAGCCCCATAAACTAGAAAATACAGCACTGAAACAAGTGCTGTGAGACATTTCTCAAATAAGCTTATAGTCAACCTAGGAACGCAGTAGGAGGGGTGGGATTTTTATTTGATCTTTTGGTATCTGGGAGACATTTTATATATAAAGAGTACTTTTTTATTCTTATTCGAATGTATAGATTCAGTGTTTTCAATGGATAGCATGTCTACACTGTGTTTGTACTCTTGTCTTCAGAAATTCTATCCTCATCTGGGCAAAACCAGCACAAGGTTTCAAGGCTGTTCTCAGTTTTAAATGCATCCCGATATGCCGTGGGAAATGAAGCTTCTAAATAAGCTTAATCTCTTCCTTGTTGATAATTTCTTTCCCTTTTAAAAAAATAGTGAGGGTAAAATAAGAAATTCACTCCTTAAGAGCCACACCATTCTCTTATAATCTGTTTCCTACTGTAACCACAAATACACGCACACACCCACAAATAAATGTACATTAAATTTGTGAATTGAATGCCTTAGTAGTTTCACTTTTGTTTAATCAACAAACATCAAAGTGATTGCCTCATGGAATGCCAATGAAATCAAAGCATTTAGAGACAAGCCAACTTGGCAACATTTTGTTATCCAGGCATTTTTCAGTTCCTTCTCTTTCTTAGGCAAGCAGAAATAACCTTGGGTTAGAAAATTCACAAGATCCTAGAGTAACATCTCTGCTAGATTGTCTTTTAGAAATGAAAATCAAAAATGAGCGTAAATGATTGTTGTCCTTGTAGTGTATAATGTTCTCAAATATATTTTTTATAAATTTAAGTGTAACTTCTCCCAGAGGTGCCTAAATAGGTGCCTTCGCTTCTGGTACCCACTAAACTCCAATAAGGACAGAGTGTGTGTGACGGGGGTAAAGGGGACACTGAATGCTAATGTTGCAGACTCCAGTGAAGATAATAGCAGGGGTAACCAGATGTAATACTGATGAAATAGAGATCAGGTTTCTAGTCCTTTCATAATTTTTTGTCAGGAATACCTGTATTGATTGCACGTGTACTGTTGACTATGAAAGAATTAATTGTGTGATAGCAAACAATCTCTTATTGTTGGAAATGAATTAGAAAATATTTTCTATCGGAAGTTGTCTTTGTGAAAACTTATACCTTAACTATACATAAGACTAGTTCCATGACCTCATCTGTCAAATAAGGTGGATGACTGTTTATCTTTGCTTTCCCTTCCAAATTGATGCCTTTTTATCCAGTCCGTCTAACCCAGACTTTATCTGGTCACCTGTCATTCTTTAACTTGAACCCAACTCTTTAAAAATACTCTGTAAAAGTCTATCTCACTAAGACTCAAAAATAGTTAAAATCTGTATATCTATCCATAGATAATATTTCCATTGATAATATCACATTTAATTTCCATGGAGGAAAAAAACAGGATTGTTTCTGTGGTGGTTGTTAATGTAAATTTACCTCGGGCAGGTAATTAAAAAAGGGATAGACAAGAAAATACCCAATTCTAAAGCTTGAAAATCAAATGGGAAAATTTGCCCCAGAATTTTTTTAAGAAATTATGATGAATTATCAAAGACAGAACAAGGGGCTCTCCAGAGAAGGCATGAGACCTTGAAGACGTCCGTCTCTTACAGGGCCAAGGACACACCCTCATTTGATATTCATAAATACAAGATACTTATTGATATTCTCAATTATTTGCATATCAAACAATATAAACTCTCCTACCAATAGTGAATAAATTATCTGGAAATACTTTCACATCATTGTTTAAAATAATCCTATCTTTGGGAGCAGGATACGCAAAAAGAATGCAGGGTTTATTTACATATTTAATTTTGATTGTAATTGCTGTTTTTGAAAAATTAATATTTGTATGCTCTATCAATAGCATCCTGACTAGCACTAATTATTCCATATATAATTTGTCTTGGTCAAGATCCCAAAGTCTGAATTCTTTAGCCATCAATAAAACAATATGAAATGTTAAAATACTTGACTCAAAGACAGTAGATTTAATTTTTTTTTAAATTATACGAAGTCAACATAGTAGCTTACCAAATTGATTTGGAACAAAATGCAGTTTTTACTTGTTTTTGATGTATTTAGAGATCTATGACCTCTTCATACAACCTTGTTAGACACCACACTGATCCTTCCTTTTCGAAACAAATTTCAATTTAAGAGCTCTACAAATCACATACACACAGCACACCTGCTGTGTTGAAACTCAATGACATAGATGACCTTGGATTCAGATATTTTTCATAGAAAGTCTATGCATGCAGCAATAAACTAGAATGGTTACTGTTTAAGGCTTGTTCTTCACAGCCTAGTTTTGATTCTTGTATTTATCAAAGTTTGGAGGATAGAACATTTATTGAAATTGATACAAATAGAACATGACAACTTACCTTAAACATTACTACACACTTGCCAGTGGCCACTGGGTATATTTTTAAAGATAGCTAGAGAGAAATGCTGTGGCTATCTCTTATTTTTTTAAGCATGCAATTGTACACATTAGATCAAAATGAGTTCCCTAGTTCTTAATCATTAACACACTTTATTAATCGTTTTGTCCATGTTTTAAATAAAGAATGCAAATCACACACAGAATACATGATAAATGGTAACCAGAATATTTCCAATTGTCATTTTAAAACCATTTCTCAGAAACAATATCTCATACATCTGATAACAAATTTGTTTAAAAGAGTGTATACGTAGCTCTATTTTCTTCCAAGAACCATTTTAAACTGGCATCTACTGCACTGAGAGGACATGAAGGCTAAGGAAAATATACTGGACGTATGGCCCTCGACAACTTTGTAGAGTTCACTTCTACTATGGCTGCATTTTTGTTTGTGGGGAGAGATATCATACAGCTTATTAAAAATTAAGACATGAATATAGTCATTGACTTGCATCTTGACTTGTCAAGTAAGCTTTTGTGTGTGGAAGGAATCCTTGGCCACCATTTCCCAATTTTATCTCCTCAGCAGCCTTTGCCAAAGCTGGACGCGCAGCTTAGGTTATATTCTTAATGCGTTCACCTCTTATCTTATTTCTTCTTTACTAAATAGGGAATTTCCAGCTAAAATAAGAAGCGAATGTGATTTTGTAGAGAGAGATAGCTTTGTTCATTTGAGTTGTGTTAGTAGAGGGATAAATTAGGAACATTTCAAATGTAGATGATAATAAGGTTCATGACTTTAGCCACTATCTTCTCACATACAGACATAACCCTAGGGCCCATTAATTTCCCTTATATTGTTAACAGACGTTTTAACCTTCTTAGAATTGCTTCTTACAACAATATTTTCCATGTTATAAGAGAAAGACAAAATTGTCCATTTATGTAAAAGAACAAAAGAAGAAATAAAAACACATTATCATTCTTTAAACAATGAATAAAAAATAAACCAATAACAATGTGTAAGTGCTTCAAGTTAAACTTATTAAAAATTAAATATAGTCTAAGGCTAAAAACGTTGTAAGGAAATATGAGGCAAAGGTTTTGCACAATAAAGTCTGTTTTTTAAAAATATCTTTTCTCTGTAACTACACTCTTCTTTCTATACTGATATTTTATTTTTTAAAGGATTGTTTATAGGGCATTAAGTATGCCTATTGAGTTCTAACATTTAAATATACTAAATATCCACTTTTTCATTCCTTCAAGTTTGACACAAAATTTATGAAAATCTGAATTTAAGTTGGAAAAAAATACATTTTTTTTTGTATTTGCATTTCTTTTCTGTAAAAAGAAATCGTTAACTTTTATTCTGTCTTTATTTTCTCACTAACAACTTTCACGGAAGGCTCCCATCTTTTAAGCTAAACATAGGAGGAGGTCCAAATCAAATATAAGGGCAGATGTAGATACATTTTGAAAACTAAAATGTGTAATGCTGACACACGGAATTGCAATTTTTCTTGGGTCCAAGTGACCTAAGTAACTGAAAGCCATGCAACAAAGGTTGAGCAATGGGGCACCCTTTTGGGGGAAAAAAAAAAAAAGGAAATAAAGAGCTTATCCAGCAGATTCCAGCTTAAAAAAAGAAAAAGAAATGAATAAATACTATTGTGAACCCTTTCTCCAGGGGAAAAAGAAGAGACAGGAACCTGATGCTATCAACATTTCCAAAATTGATAAAGTCAATCAATGATTTTCTTTTCATTTTTTAAAATCTTATTTAAAAATTGTCACTGAAAGTGTGAAAAAAGTCAACCATTAATTCACCATGCTAAAATCATAGTAACTTGTATCTTTGTGCTTTTTTTGTTTTCTAAATATGTGCATATTTTTACAAAATTACTTTCTTACTGTGTTGTATTATAATCTACATATACACACAGACACACACACACGTGTGTGTGTGTGCGTGTGTGTGTGATACTCTCCTAAGGCAATACATTGTCTTTATAAATAATTTAATTTAAAGATTACATAAATTCCAGTTTATTTTTATATTATGACTTGTGTAGACATTCTATAATTATTTGACACAAATTCATTCAATTTATTTACTACCACAAATAAACCCACAATTAATATCACAGCACACATTACATTTTTTGTGGGGTGAGGGAAGAAACTGCAGATTTATAAACAAGTTTCATAAGATCTGTAAAGACCTGAAATTGTAATTCTTGTGTATAGGTTAGTGTATGCATTTTCTTCTTTTTTATGAAGGGAAAAGATCTATAACTAAAAATTTCATAAAGTTTAGAAAAAGTAGGTGAAACTCAATGGTTAAGAGTTTTTCTTTAAGTAATCTCCTGGTCATACTTTGCAAGAAGTAGTATAGCTGGGTCAAAAAGTATAACCATTTTCAAAATTCATTTTAGATATTACTCAATTGTTTTCTGAGAATGACTAATATATATAGTTTTAACATTCATCGAGCCTTTTGTTTATTTTGTATCTGCTTAACAATATGACATATTGTGATTAAAATGTAATTGATTTGGAATAGTCAGAAATGCATCATTTTAATAAAGCTTAATTTTATTTTTAATTAAAAATATTAAATTTTGTGCTTTATGCATTTAACGAATGCATATAATTGTTTGTATGCATATATGTATGCATATAATGGCTTGTATATTTGCATTATATACATACATTATATGCATAAAGCACATTCATATTTATAATTCACATTATAATGGCTTGTACAGCCATTATATGCATACATTATATGCATAAAGCACATTCATATTTGAAAGTGTTCTTTAAATATTGATCCCATAATATATTATTAAACTGATTTTAAATGTTTACTATCTTTGACTTATGTCGGTATTTAATAATATATGTACACACATATACATTAATCTTTTCTGGGTATAAACATATTTTCATGTATAGACTGACAAAGATATTCAGCTCTCCCACAGTATTAATTTTGTTTTTAAGCATCTTCCTTGATGGATTTTGATCATGAATATTATAATATTTTGCTAAGGTAGACAGACAGCCATACTTTTTAAAAATCCCTAGAGAAACCACTTCATAGCTGACTAAATTTATAATACCCAATTCATACTCTAAGTAGAAGAAAAAGGAGAAAGAGGAGGGGAGAAGAGGAGAGGAAGAATTTTTTTTTTGGAAGAAGATTTTTAAAATGCTGCCAACTTTGGAATATGAAAGAAGTGACATTATTACACAGGAAAGCCATTTGAAAGAACTGAGAATATGCATGGCACTAGATATTTTACATACATCAACTTAGTCATCAAAATAACTCTATAAAGTGCATTCACATTATTCCCATTAAACATAAGAAAACTAAAGTACAGAAGCATTAAGAAATATGCCTAAACTTACACCGATAAAAAAATGCAAGAGACTGCATTTCAACCCAGAATCCCTGAGCCTTCCTTTACATATTCTCATCTTAATTTTTCTTTTTCCTTTTAAATTTCTGATAGTGATTGTTCAAATATTCAAGACAGGTTAGAATCTTCAGAACTAAGTGAGGATGATTCTGACACTGTTCAACAATCCTATAGATTGACTAGAATGAGGGCAGACCACAGAAATAATGGATGCATCCAATTATGTAAGTTATTGGAAATTCGGACATACAAAATAGAGCACTCAGAAATTTAGCAACATTGCTATTTCTTGTCCCAAATGTGACAGGCAGCAGTGCCAGAGAGAAAGCCAGAAGGACCATATCCATAGCAGTGACTATACCCATTGCTTCCATCATGGGAAGAATGAACATAAAATGGTAGTCCTCAGGGCACCTGCTTCAGCTCCCTAAGAACCAATACCCCAGTTCCATGGGTGGCTGCACTTCCCTGCTCATTCACTTCAAGGTGCCAAGTTACTGAAATACTACTATAAATTTACACTAGTCATCCCTCAAGCCTACAATCAGAAAAAAAACAAATTTGTGTTCAATAATGTGGTCAGTAGAAGAAATGAAGAAGAATCATTTGACTTCTTCCAAAACCACCATTTTTAGACACAAGCCCTGGAGAAACCTCTGCACAGACAAGGCAGAGAGATCATAAAATATCTCAGTGGGAACATGTGAAGCCATTCGTAGCATTAGCAAGGCCGAACTTACCACTTTCAATATAAAGAGGTCATGACTCCTTTTAAAATTAGATTTGTTCTAGTATTGCACCTTAGAAATTATCCCGTCTCTCACTAAAATATAAGAAAGTATGTACTCAGAAATGAGACAAAAGGCTAAGGTCAATGGCGGACAATGAAAAGGAAAACATATAAGGAATAATTTTTTAAAAAGAAGAAACAAAGCAGAAATGAAACCTGGCAGAATTAGTAAAAAGAAAGATTGTCAATGCGATACCATGCCCCAGTGGAATGGAAGTTAAGAAACAGGAAGTTGACTGATGTTCTACTCTTCTTCCCTATTGTTCTACAATATTTGTCTCAAAATTTAAAAATAATAAAAAATAGATTTGAAATGTTAAAACAACAAAAACAATTCAACTCTACTTAATAACAA